TAACAAATATCTTTTATTGTCTCTTCTTTGTCACCGCTGCATACAGTTGCAAAAATGTCACGGCAAACTTCTGATCACGTCCGTGAGAGAAATGTTTCCCGACTACAAAACTTTGGCCGAAGTGGCGCTAATAATTCCGGTCTCCAGTGTGGCAGCAGAGCGCGGTTTCAGCCTCCAGAACAAAATTAAAACGAGAAGTCGCATTTCCGAGGCAAAGATGCAAAATTTGAAGCACTGAAGAAAGCAATGTGCTGAAATGTTTGCTTGTGCCTGCTTGTGATGGTCTAGTTTTTTAATTCACTTGCACTCTGCACTTTTTTGCACTACGCAGTTTATAAAACACTTTTTTTTTTGCTAGACCTTCTTTAGTCTGGGTCTAATTCAGTTTGTGACTGGAAGTCTTTTTGTTGGAAACATGGCAATCCATTGGCCAAAGATAAGGTCAGATGATGTAGCATAAACACGCCATCAAGACCAGAATTGGGCACCTGAGGTAAATGTAATCAAATTCTAATTGTCTGAAGGAAGACGCTCAGGCATGCCAAACTGACGTAGCATCTTGTTCCCTTCTCAGGGATACATATGTAATCTGAGACGTTCCCTTTCAAGGATCCTGATGCTACGTTAATACCCACGTCACCAAACTGAAAAATGCCAGACCAAGGTTGTGAAGTATGCACACGCACAGACCTGAGTGGATTAACCCCAAATGACTTTAGAACCTGGGGTTTATTCCATGTCCAAACTGGAAAACCTTATGAATGTGCGTGAAAGGGACCAGTCTGCCGCACCAGACTCATCTTGCAAAGCCGCACCCTTTGAAAGCAAGGGTGCAAACTGAAAGCATAATAGGCAAAATAAAATAAAACAGTAATCCATTGCGCTAAATGTTGCTTAATGGCAGCAGAACCTTTGCAGATGTTTGCCACAATCCTGAGCGGTTAATATAAATCCTAAGTGCCCTGACTGGACACATTAAGTGCTGCTCTTCTGTTCTGGCAAGTCAACTGGCGGAGGGAAGAAAGCTTGAAGAATGACCAAATGAGCAGTCAAGAGAGGCCTCACCTAGAGATTGGCATGGTGTTATTTCAGTTAGCCTAATAGCTGGATTGATTTGCATTGAAAGATGATCTTATGGAAAGTACCCCATGCCAATCTCTAGGCATGGTGAAGGGAATGTGATGATGTGGATCTATTTTAATTCCAAAGGCCAAGGGAACTTTATCAGGATGCATATTATCCTGGATCCATGAAATAACTGGCCTTTAAAAATAAAAATCTGCCAGCCTCTATGGGAATTTAACATAGGGGGGGCCTGACTTATGCACCCTGTATTTTAAGGAAGAACATTTATTTATTTATGATACATTATTCATACACAAAGAAAATTGGTGTCCTTAAAGGTTGGATTTTTCCTCATTTTTCTAATTAAGGCATTAAGATCAATTTCCAAAAGATGATTTTTTGTTCCTCTTTTTAGGCAACTTTAGCATGGGGGTAATAACTTATTCACACCACTGTATATGGTGAACGGTGTGTGATAGAAGTGTCCAGACGTATGCACCCTGCATTTTAATTATTTGCGATACATTATTCATTCACAAATAATTCAAGGACATTATTCATGTCCCTAAAGGTTGGAGTTTTCCTCATTTTTTTAATTAAAGCTGCTGTAGGTAACTTTTGAAAAAATGTATTTGCTAAAACTGTTATTATGTCCTGACAGTAGAATATGAGACAGATAATCTGTGTAAAAATCAAGCTCCTCTGGCTCCTCCTAGTGGTCCTATTGCCATTTGTAAGAAATACACGCTCCCGGTCAGAAACAACCAATCAGAGCCAGAAGGAGTGTCTTAGCAGTGTCAATCACGCTCATGTAGGCGCTGATCACACCCCTCTCTTGCACAGCGCGAGCGCCGGAGCGCGAGCCGTCGTTCAAACTCAAGATTGCCGGCGTGCTGCAGCTGTGCTTATGCTGGAGAAACAACCTAAACTGCCAATTCTCGAGTGACACCTGCTCATAAAACAAAGAGGTAAAAGGAAAAAGACTGATGACGATAAACAAGTGAAAAAGAAAGAATTACACAGAGCCCATTGACTCGGTGTCAAAACTCTAGCCGCATAACATGTAGATAAAATGTTATGCACTCTGCTAAGCAACAATTGAAACCTGCTAATTCACTGGTTTGTCATGTTGCTCAAATAATGTACAAGCACACCTTATCTAGCATTATATATCGCTAGAATAATTACTTACATACTGTAACGTTAGTTACCGTTATATTAACGTTATCTTACTAGCGATTTATAACTTATAGAAAGAGTGCAACGTTATAAAGTTACATGTAGGCTATTGCAAAATACATAATGATTTGAGGACCAAGTTTGTAGTCAAAGTATGGGCAGGCCATAGTCAATGTAAACCATATTATTGACGTTTAGTCCCTATTAGTGAATGTGCCATATAACTTTTTATCCGCTGTTATCGGTGGCCCTGTTTACTAGCCTTCGCGTTCACGACGGGCTCCGCTGTGGAGGACGAGCTTTGGAGGGAGGGCTGTAGCGCAGCAGAGAGCAAGGGGGTGGGACCTGTAAGTTGTGCTTGTTCAAATTGTCAGGCTAAGTCAACGTTTTCTCAAAACTCCCTACTGGAGCTTTAAGGCATTAAGATTTTTTATTGCTCTTTTTAGTCAACTTTAGCATGGTTGTGTTCATTTATTCTAAGCAGTGTGTGTGTGTGTGTGTGTGTGTGTGTGTTGTAAATAAATCCAAACAATCTAAAAGCCATTCTTTTTTAAATCTCCTCATTCTTTGTGCAAGGCTCCTGATAATGATAGGGCCTGATAGCACCTAATAGGGCCATTATGGGAGGGTCTTTGTCTTTCTCAGGTGTGGAATGCCACACATATTAATGAGAGATCACGCTTCCTCGCATAAAGCTTTCTCAAACAAAACACGTCATTAAAAATGTAAAAGACTTTATTGACTTATCTGAATGAGTAGTCAGGATGATTCTCACATAGTTTTGGAGCAAATATTCTAGACTATGTGATACAATTTTCAAAAGTCTTGTGAAGAAATAATCAATATGTGTTTTGTGGCCTTATTTCAGAAACTTTTATTTTTAAGTTTTTCAATAACCATGCATAAATAACATTCTCTCAAAAATACAAACATGTACATACATGTTGCTCACATATCATGGTAGCCCCGTTTGTGCTATATAGAGTGAATTTACATCTTTGCCATTAACATGTTTATAAATAACTGAAAAAAACACAAATGTCAGTGCATGTCAAAACATCCCAAGGGCCCCAAAAACACTCTGGTCCACAGAGGGTTAAACATAGAAAGTGTACAAAGACATCTGCGCATAACCTTTATTGTTTTTAAAGGGTTGCCTAATGGGTGAAACCCACTGCTTTTGACCCACAACTGGAATGGTCTAATGTGCTGCAGCCTCATTGGTATCACATTGGGAGTGGCTGCCATAATAGCCAGCAACCTCTGATATTGTCTGATAGGAATATCCTGACATAGCCTGAATACTTTCATGGCGGTACGGATGAACTTGACCTGACCCGAGCAGGTGACAAATGTGCCTGTATCGATGTTAAGTCCAACACCAACCTCACAAAATTATTGGAGAGAACATGCTTTTATTACTGTTTAGCCTCAAACCTAAACACTTTAAGTGGACAAGAAGGAGATTGATTTCAAAACGCTATTTTTTTAGACTGAGCTAGAATCAGACAGTTGACAGTGTAGTTCAGTACACGGATGCCCTGAAGTCGCAATGGAGTCAGGTCGGCAACGTGCAGTGCCGGGCCCCCAGTCTTGACTGGGGGGACACAGGCAGACACACTGACCCTTTTCTCCCCCTACTCCTGTAGAAGCCACAGGCTTCTGGGAAGGGAAAAAAAACTGTCATCGTCTGCTTTCTGGCCACCTGAAACCTATCGACAACAGAATAGTCACTGAATAGTCCAGATGGTGAATTTGGGTGTCCAACAATAAAGTTTTTTCCTTTTCCTTAATGCAAGAGAGGTATAGCCACAGATGCCTCTCCGTGGAGAGCATTGTAGCTATTGAACGATGGCACAGGCTGTGTAGTAGATAGTGAGGGCATGACAGCACACATTGCTCACATATACTCTTTTCTAGATGCCATATTTCACTCATTCAATACAATACAGGGTAGACAAGCAATATCCTCCACACAAACACTGACACGCGGTTTCCTTATGACAAAGAAACTGATGACAGTTATCTTGACATCGCCTATGTTCCGTCACCTGACCTCGAACAAAAATTGCCTAGTTTCCACACGTGCTTAAGACACACTCAAGCAAAATCGTTAACATTGCGTCAACGTCATGACACTGCGTTGATTTCCCTCAAAAAGGAGCTGGTAATCATAAGGATTCTCTTTGAAAACGGAAAACCCATTAGGATTGAAATTTCTGTGATGGCAGTATTGTATTTTTATCATTTATTTTGAACACAATATTGTAGGTGAAGCTAACTTTCACGTCGTGTTCACCTTTATAATTGACATTTAAGCCAGCTTCCATGTACTGCTGGCCTCCTATCCTTCCTAAAGCGTGAACTAAATCAAATAAAGAGATTCCCATCATGGATTGTTCAGAACAGTCACTGTGGTAGCAGTGTCAGATATGATCCTCATCTTAATTAATTTGTTCCTTTAATTATACACATGATGTTGTAATTGTATCAGATATATATATATATATAGTCTTGTCTATTTCAATCAGTTTGATGATGCACAGATCTAGAGCACATAACCATTCCGAATTGTTAATTTAATAAAATAAAAATATTGTTGTAGATGCATTGATTTACTCGGAATATCAAAAAGCATTTGCTGTGTGTATTCTGTCATGGGGATTATGATGCTTTGGCAAATATTGAATAAAAGATTTGTAATGTTTTAAATAAATTGCTATTATGTGATGAATAGATGCTTTTTGAATTGTTACCTGAGCCCATAAAGCACAGTGCCATCTGGATGAAGACGGATCATTCTGTTCTTCACTGTTACACCATGTACAAAAGACTTCTTGTCATTCAGGAAGTATGTATCCGGCACCCACAGCTGATCAGCTACCCTGTTATCCAGCGTCAGGTTAAGAGGAATCTCAGAATAGGACAGGCGTTTGTCTCGCCAGGCTTGCTGGAAATACATAGTCAATGTGTAGTCCTGAAAAAACAAACCATAAACATAGAGAAGATTACTGAATTACCAGGTCTAAAGACAATATAAGAAAGTCAAAGAAAGAAGATATTTTAGGCAATATGTTTAAACCTTTTGGGGGTTAATATTACATGACTGGCTTTACAATTTGATGATGAAACGTTAAAAGCAAGATTGCACACCAGGTTAAAAATGAGTGTTAAAACACTGGAGACTAGTACAGGTATAATAACAGAGAGCACGCTGGGACTCTACTGAACAAAAATGAACCATTTCAATCATTCTTTAAAGGCATTGTTCACCTAAAAATGCCATCATGTCGTTCCAAACCTGCATGCTGATTTGGACTATCAAATAACTCACTGACCTTTAAAACAGCAATGACACTTTTTGCATAGGCATTTCAAAATGCAAAGCATTCATCAGTAAGCTACCGACGTGCATGACAAAGTACAAAGCAGGTGACAGGATATGGGAGACTGGGAATGGTTGTATCATATTTTGCTTTTAATGTTTGTAACTGTGACTATTTATTTTAAATTGTGATATGTTTTCTTAGCAGTTCTGAAATTCAAATCAAAACAAGATGTGAAGTGTATACATTTTTGCCAAATTTAGGCAAATAACACTGATGAAGAAAAGAAAGGGAATATATAGGGACAGAATTTGTGAATGTATTCATGGCATGTATTAGTTTCAGGACAAATATTATTTAAAAGGTGAGCAACTAATTAAATGTTCTTTATTAAATGGCAGAGGCACTCATGCACTTTTACACTCCAATTTTATTGATTTGATTGGCCATCTCAATAATTTTGACAATGACGATGTCAAGCTTCTAGACCAGCTTAAAAATGTAAACTTTTCCAACTTTTTGTCAACTTAAGGGCAGGGCGGTGAGTAATGAAGTGCAGGGGGGACTTGTCACCCTCAGTGGTGGGCATGGCCCTGGTTTGTACACAATAGCATTACTGCTGTGTAGCAGAACTCGAAGTGTGTTTGGGGTCCAGGAACCCCACTGATTTACCCTAAAATATTTTTAATTAGTTCCTGATTAGTTCTTAATTAAAACCCAATAGGCAAATGTTGTAGACATGCACTTTTCAGAAATGTTAGATGATGGTATTATTCTTTCTTTTGCTTTCTGTTTGGGGTTCATTTTAAAGACGTTGTAGATAAGTAAATTAATAGATATATAAATAAATGGCTAAGTCTCAAAATTTGCTAAAGCGTTTAGCATTAAAAGAGACTCTGAAAAAATATGTCTGTGGCACGTGGTGCTAAATGCCAGTCCAATGCACCTCAAAGGTGATGATGACATTTTTCTGTTTACACGCTGATAAACCAAATCTCAGATTTGCTCTCTTGCTGCAAAGCTTATTATGAAATACCATGCAACACCAGGCAGGCTTTCATGGCTTTCTCTTAGCATTACTAAAGCGAGTTCTGGAAAGTTTTAAAAGATATTGAGTCTCTGAGATTGAGAGAGTATGCTTTGTATGATCAGCAAGACTTCTTAAGGTTCTAATCTTCTCCTCATAGTACTTTTATCAGGCCAGGTACTGGGATACCAAAGAGAGCTATCTTCTATTAGGATACCTGTAATTTATTTACTCTGGCTAGAAGTTTGAGTGTGGCTCATAGTCTGGGAAAACTATATACATCCTGTGTGCCACCAGAAAACCTACAATGAGGCAGCAAACAACATACAAATAGCTGTCACCATTGCTATCCTACATTTTCTCAGTGGAGGTGGCTGTCAAATGCTTGGAGCTAATGAGCATCATGGTGTACAGTAAGCTAGTGTGGGTGGGGACGGATGATGTTTCTGTTGTGCTTCTGTCGGAAAAGACATGCTCTGGAAAGAGGTTTTGGGAAGTGTCTTCTGAAGAATCATGGGACAGCACCTGCTATTCAACCTCATCCGAGAGTTGACATCATCTTCAGAGTTCATATGGATTTTCTGCAATGGGTGACCACCACTCAAGAGATAATTAAATGGAGAGGGTCGCCACATGATTGCAACAATTACTAGACACAATTAGAGCTGTCTGAAGTCCAGTCTCATTAAGTTGTTGAGTTTAAATTTAGGAGTTGCAGCAAATGCATTACCAAGGACTATATTTCAGTAAGTATGCTCTAACATTTCCTGAAAGCTATGAGCATCAGATTTTTTTTTTATTAGGGGTGTATTCACACCAGGAAAGTCTGATAGTTCACTTTGGTCCGGACCAAATACTTTTTTTTTTTTTTTTGGTACGGTTCGCTTTCACACTGCTCTTTTTGCAAGTGAACCAAAATTTGTAAACAAAACCACATGTGTGCTAAGTTCGTCCATTCATTGGACAAGGATTCTCAAGTAGGGAAATCAGGAAGTGCAAAAAAGGCTTAACGTAAATTAACGCAGCATCATTCTTGTATTGTAACTATCGTTACATTAGGGGCCCTATTTTAACGATATGAAACGCAAGTGTCAAAGCGCAAAGCGCAAGTAACTTTGTGGGCGGATCCCGGCGCTGTTGCTATTTTCCCGGCGGGATAAATGCCTCTTGCGCCTGGCGCAAATCTAAAAGGGGTTGGTCTGAAGTAGCTTCATTATTCATAGGTGTGGTTTGGGCGTAACGTGAAATAAACCAATCAGAGCGTCATCTCACATTCCCTTTAAGAGCAGGCGCGCTTGTTCTAAAGCGGATTCCTATTATAACGGCGGATTTGCCAGGCGCGCGCCAGGAGCGGTTCACAGCCGAGGAGAGCAACGTTCTCGTCAGGGCCGTAAAACACAGAGAAGTGACATTGGGGATGGAGAAACCCACCCAAATTAACTTCTGTTAAACAGGCGTATGATAATTTGGGTAAATGTGTAAGCTACATGTATGCTTTTATAATAAATTGTCTATCTATCTATCTATCTATCTATCTATCTATCTATCTATCTATCTATCTATCGTAATAATGTATGATTTGCAAAAATGAAAACTGCTGCTTAGATGAGAGAATCAAAGTGTATGCGCGTTGTGCACACGCTACATTGATTATGGCCAAGCATGCGCGCTTAAAATAGCATTATGACCAACGCGCAACGCGCCACTGACTTTAGACTAGGTTTTTTCTGGTCAGTGGCGCAATTGTCTTATAGAACAGCAAAATAGCATGAGGGAAACTTTGCGCCGGAACACGCCTCCTCTTTGCGCTGAACCGCCCCGGGGAGCGCAAGTGTATTTCTTAGTTAACCGACGTGTGTCTGTGGAGGAAAAAGCCCGCTTTGCGCGGGTGCAAAATAGGAATGATACATGCGTCAGTGTACTAAGTCATTTGCGCCGAGTGCAAGATAGGGCCCTATATGTTCTGCAAATGCTTTTTTTTTTTTTGCATCTATGCGCGATTAGACTAAAGAGAACGCTCTGTATGTGAATGTCCGGATGCACACACTCATTCATTCATTCCATTCCAATGATGCACACCAGTGTTAATTTCGTTGACGAATAATTTTAGTCATTATTTTCGTCAACGACATTTTTTCACAGACGAAAACGAGACGATAACTAAATAAAAACCAGTTTTAAATGACGACAACTATGACGAAATGTATTGACATTTTCGTCAACGAATAAAAACTAGACGAAAATGTTAGGGAGGGACGATTGGAAAGAGATCCATTCAGAACTGATTTGTGTTTGTGGAAGATGCTCACATTTGAATAACGTGCTGATCTACAGGCGGGACTGGAATTGGCATGCGCTTGATGCATGTCTCATAAATCGTTCAAAAATGTAAACGTCTGGAAGAAAGAGAAGATCAAACATATGGATAGATCTAAATAAGAGTGACGACGCGAAAGAGAGCTTTATTCGGTATGTTTTTCTGTGCGCACACACACACCCGACCCGACCCGAAGCGTGCAGCCCCATAGACAGCTACACAGCGCGCGAGGACTAAATTGAGCTCTATTTCGCGTCTGAATGGACAAATACACACGTCTAAATGTCCGTTTCGGAAAGTATTCACGTAAACACAGTCGTTTATGTCTATACAGAACGTACAGTTGTGAGAATATCGGATGTGCATCAGTGCAATTGGATCTGCACACTCGGTCTTAAAGTGACAGTGCGTAATAAACCTAATGCCGTCTGTACACTTAATATTAATCAAACAAAATAATAAAAAGTGAGAAGCATTCACTGCTCTTTAATATATTTAATAAGATTTAATAATATTGAATTTATACAAATAAATATGTCTGCTAAATATAATCATAATCATCTATTGAATTAAGAAGAAAAAAAGACTGTTCTACTTTAGAAGTGTTTTTATTTAATTTTAAGATATTATTTTATGTCATTCATATTCTATTCATATTAACAGGTTAATATATGTTTTCTAGGGGAATATATAATGGGTTTGGAAATTTTAGATAAATTAGATACATTTTAGATAAATTAGATACATTTTAGATAAATTCTAAATTAATGCACAATTTAACTAAACCCATTCGATTTTAGTAGACTAAATCTACTGTAGATTTAGTCGACTAAAATCTTATTGTATTTCGTCAACTAAAACTAGACTAAAACTAAAACAATTCAGATGACTAAAATATGACTAAAACCAAATGGCATTTTAGTCAAAAGACTAAGACTAAAACTAAATCAAAATTTGCTGTCAAAATTAACACTGATGCACACACGACGCGCAGAAAGACGCGCAACAGATGTAATGTAGTAGGCTACAACAGATCACTTTCCCATTACGCAACTCCAACTACGGAAGTCTGTTAACTCAAAGGCGCAGTGCTTTCTTGCAATTGGGTCGGTTCATGTTCACACCGTAAACGAACCGTACCAGAGTTCGTTTGGAACCGTACCGAGACCACCTCTTCAGCTGGGTCTCGGTTCGGTTGTTTGGTCCGCACCCGAGTTCGATTGCTGTATTCACACCTGCCCAAAAGGTCCGCACCAAGGGGGGAAACGAACTAGAGTTCGATTCAATCGAACCAAACAAGGCAGGTG